CTGCTTACCTGGCGAAGCCGTAGAGCGAGTTCCAAAAAGGGCGCTTAACATAATCTACCCCGAGGCAGAGTCATATGCTCATGCCTTACAGTTAGGTAAACTAGATAGGTTAGATGATAGAAGAGTACTCTTGTGCTACAAATATATGGCGAAAATGAAGTCCCCCAGCCACTCTCTGCACCACCTACTTCCCAGCCCACTTCTGGACGCGCCTAACTACACCTTAAGGCAGAAAACACAAAAGTATTATCTTTTCCGGAACATGCAGGTCTGTAGGACAAAGAGAGTGGAGGACTTCTTTACATTTAAATTTTTTAAGTGATTCAATTGTTATTTTCATTGTTATAACTGTAAATTACTATACTCTAGATAATAGTTGCCTTAAGATTGTAAAATGTACTCAATAATTCAGTTCTTTTTACTACAAGAGAGTTTTTAATAAACTATTCAACTAGTGAGCAACAAGACAGACCCGAAGCCTTATAGTACAGTAGGACGCTGGTAATTTGAACTCTGAAAGGAAACGAAAAACATTTTCCGGGGAATTCGAGTTATCGGGGTAAATTTCAATGAAATTTTGATCAAGGGAAAGGAAGTTTAGTTCGAGTTAGCGGGGAATTCAAGTTGTCCGAGTTCGAGTTATCGAGGTTCTACTGTACATGCAAGCTTCAGCTTGGCAAATGCGCAAAGCAATAACTATTCTTAACTTACTTCCCGCGCCTCCAAATCTTGTTCTGTTGTAGCATGTCATGTGGTACAAAACTCCAAGGCAGAAGAGCACACCAAGAGCAGCTAAGCTAACGAAAAAGGTGCTTGTAAAGTGTGGGCTACTGGGATCAAAGAATGTCACCTGCTCCTCGGCAGTATCTGCTTCCTGTGTGGAGAAAAATAAAGCTCCTTAAGATACGACGAAATTTTATTGAAATGAAGAATAACTTTATTTTTCTTACAAGGCATTATAAGACAAGTCTGTGGCATGCCATTACCTCATTAGAGTCATCTTCTTGATCTTGGTTTCCTTGTAGGAGATAGTTCGTTTGCACATTTTTGGCGACGATCATTTTTGACAACTCGTCCGCCAAATACATCGAGCTACCTTGTAGAATAAGGCCTTGAGAGATTTTTGTTTCAAAGAGTTCAGCAACTTCAAACCAGGAGCCATTAAATAAATCCTTCCTTTTAACTGGAGTATACATGTCCACCAAGAGTGCATCAATTTGTTTTGTCTTAAGAGCCTCCACTAGCTGATCTATATCCGGGAACGTTGAACCTTGAATGAATCAATAGTACACAGTGAGATGCGTTGCATTGCTATCGCGATCTATATGAAAGCCAAACTGTTACTTTTGGTCGTCAGCCATTGAGGATAGTGTTTGTTTAGCAGTTTGGGGTGGTGTAAGAGTAATAGATATTTCCCAGTTAGGTAGAAAGGCAATTAATTTAGCAACCGGACATTTCTTGGCCGAATACTGAAGAAGGGATTACTGAAAGAAAAAGATCTTAAAACTAAATAACTGAACTTAAAATTAGTTTACTAGCCGAACTACTATCCTTGTAAAATATTGTGTCAAGAATTTCTCGCTTGTTTTTGTGGTTCCCATAACGATACGGTTTGGCAGTTTTTTTTTTTTTGAATTTCCACTTAATTCTGCTCCTAGAACTAATCTGCACTTCTCTGCTGCTCGCATTTTCCCTAACAGATGGTCTTGTTTTTCTATTTGGATGGCCGTTACTGCTGCTGGAGCAAAATCACGATTTAGTCACAGAGCAGTACCTAAATATGGAAGTTCCACTTGTTGGCATTCCTTTTAACTTGTCTGTTTTGCTGCTGCTCTTGACAAACTACTATTTAATGTAATTTGTTATTACAATTTTCGAACTGAGCCCTCTCGATCAGTTCTGAAACTCCAAGGGCAAACTTCGCGTGTAAAATTGTTTTTAAAATTGTACTATAAAACCCTCTAATTACAGCCACCTTTCCACAATGGTTTCTTTCTCGGCGCCAAGGTTTCCACTGTGAGGAAATTCGACTCTGTACAGGTTGCATGGGTCTTGCTAAAAGCTGGCCCGCGGCCCACGGCCCGCGACGGCCCAGCGGCCCGGCGGCCCGAAGGCCCAGTGGCCCGCGGCCCACGGCCCGCGGCCCATGGCCCGGCGGCCCGGTGGCCCAGTCCTGATTTTCCACAGTTTTTTTTTTCCAGCGGTAAATCCACGGGCATGCACAGATCTGCATCGGGTTTGGGCGTGCAAAATGGACGACGGTGAGTTTGAATTCGTTTACCATTTTAATCATTTGAATCCTTGTTTCTGTTTGTTGCATGCTGTTCAGATAAGAACGTTTTCATTCTCTGTTCATTCGTCACTTTACAGAAACCGACAAAGGACTTTCATTATCGAAATTATTTTCAAACCATACACAAAGCATACACTTAGCCACATGCAAGGAAAGAAAGGATCGAAAAGGATTGAAATGATTATTAAAATGGTAAATGAATTCAAACTCACCGTCGTCCATTTTGCACGCCCAAACCCGATGCAGATCTGTGCATGCGCGTGGATTTACCGCTGGACAAAAAGACTGTGGAAAATCAGTACTGGGCCACCGGGCCGCCGGGCCTCCGGGCCGCTGGAACGTCGCGGGCCGCTGGGCCGTCGCGGACCATGGGCCGCGGGCCTGCTTTTAGCAAAACCCCAGGTGGGTTGCATATGAATTGTTTTTTTTAGTACATTGTTGAAGATAGTAAAAATTTTTTGGAAACTGAAAGAAACTATGTTAAGAAATGTGAACATAATGGGGAAAGAAAATATAGCATTTTTAGTGTATAATAAGCTTACCGATAGTTAGCTTGCCACTGAGAGAGCCAAGAGCAACGCGGTTTTCGGGTGAATCAGTTACAACTGCAACCTGTTGTAGTTGGGAAAACGTAATATTTAATTTGTTATTTCATTCTTGAAACCTTTATAACCACAAGCATGTTTTTTCTCTTGGTTGATGGACTTTGAACTTCTGGCGACGATTGACTATTTTAGGTTTCATTCATTCCATTCCAACGAACGAGAAGATATTTTTTCAAGAAATAACGAGGACTTAGAGTTTTATGACAGTGCGCGTGCATCACTTGCCCTTTTGTAAACAACTTTTTAAAACATTTGAATCTCTTTTCACTTTCATTCAGTTTTTGTTTGTTTGTTTGTTTTATTACTGAACGCGCTCTCCCAAAAGACAACACAAAAACGAGGTCGGTTTGTTGGGTAGAGAGCTATAGTCACACTGAGGACCTGTCTTCGAAAGAAGGATGACAGAAATTTACTTAATGTCAGAGCGAGGTAACGGTACTACAGAAGGGCCAGTTCAGCCTCAAGTCATAAAATGAAAAGAAGTAAACAAAAAGAAAAACGGTAGTTGTAAGGCAGTTCTCAGTACTAACACAATAGACCTTTTCACGGTTTCTTCAACTTTTGACATGGACAAACTAGGGAAAATCTGTCGACACCACTGGAAAGAGGGCCTTAACACTATTAAAATTACCAAATTTTAAAGTGATACGTCTTCCGCGAGCAAAGATATAACTCCGCAAAGTTGCGAAAATTTACAGACGTTTGTATATGCTCCCCACCATACAAACGTCTGTAAACTTCGCGACTTATAGGAGCTATTATTTTCAACAAATCCCTTTCAAACTAGGCAATTTTACTAATCTTAAAGCGCTGTTTTCAGTGGTGCTGACGGATTTTTCCTAACTTGTCCATATCAAAAGTTTAAAAAACCGTGAAAAGGTCTATTGAGTTCTTTCTTAGTTTTTCGAAATTAAGTTTTCAATCAAGGAATTTTATAACGCCTCTGAGGCTTCTTAAAACCATCTTCAGGATACGAATGTAAGTTCATTATTAGAAAACTAAATCCCTTCCTGGAAAGGTGTTTGCAGCTGCGATGTCCAAGAAGTAGATAATTAAGGTAACGAGCTTTGTTTGTTTAATAGGTACGTTCGTTCACATCTCTACGTGCGAAGTTCGCATAATAATCATTTTCTCCAATTCATTAAAACTTAGGTTGGGCCGATCAGCTCAATTTCAATTCCTTTTGTAGGCCGACCTTTAATCACCTGCAAACACCTATCTTGTGCATACAAATACTGTTGATCTTGTAAGGTAAACTTTATTGAATAACTAACTTGTGAGGTAAACTTCACTTAAGACTCTACTGAGGAACTACGAGCGTTGTAGTAAATCGTGTCTTCATCTCATAGCCTGTGCTCTTGGACGTCTTTTAAAATCTGTACTCTTAACACTTTATAGCACTTACATATAGGCACGATGCATGACGTCACAAGTGGTATTCAAGATTTTACATTCACTCTTTTTTACTTGAACACTTTTTTGCAAGAAACTCACACCGTCGTTATTGATGTCACTGAAACGCTCTGAGGGGACACTGACTTTGAACTCAAGAGAAAAATCAGTTATTACCGTTTTTGTGTCTGTTCCAGCTGTTGATCTGATTGTATACTTCACTGTGGTTACAGTGAGTAAAGAAGCTAAAGTACCCATAAAAACAGCGAACAAGACCAGACCAACCAAGAACCATAGAATTGCAAACACTTTTGCTGGGATTGATTTGGGACAGAGGTCTCCATACCTAACATAAACAACAGAAATGATAACTAACAAGAAGGGCTATGTTACCATAGAACTTTAACAAGTTACGCTATTTAGTAATATACCTTTAATTTTCTAAGGGCTATACAAGCAATACTGGTTGTAAGTAATGGTACAACATCGCTTTTCCTCGGAGCCGCTCGCACAAGCCGAGACTGAAATGACTTATTCATAAAACGACAAACTGAGGTTGTTCCGTTAATACAGTCGAATCTTCCTGATCTTATTAGAAGTAGTCCTCTGTCCAATTTCTAAACATTTTGTGTCAAACAACTAATAAAACCCAAGTGTTTGTCGACTCATTACAGTGCAATAGTTGATGTAAACAACAGTCGTCAAGTAACTTACCCGACTGTTGTCATGGAAATGAATGCCCACCAGAATCCCTCTCCAGCTCCTTTAAGGAACTGGTGCGGAAAGTTTTCAGGATTGTCCTTCGAATCCTGTAGGTGAAGCAAATATGAAAACAATCAATGAACAATCAGAATCACTACTGCATGTAACAGTCAGCAAAGACGTTTTGGGAGAGCAATCCTTTAGAAGACCTTAGGTAGATAAATCTTACCTAACTGGGATGTATGGTGAGTTGTTATTACTTATTGTACGTGACTGGCTAAATAACGTCAGCTTTTGAATTTTTTTAGTTACGGTGGCAAATTTAATTTTAATAATCGTTAAGTAGCTTTTTTTGTGTGTGTGATGAAGCGTAGCCTTATAGCATAACTTAGTGAAATATGGAATGGCAGGGAAATCTGTCATTAGGTTTTGTTTCTGGATATTAAAATAACTTCACATACCCATCTTATGCCGGTGGAAATTACAAGAAAACCTCCTGTTGCAGCGATTTTTACACGTTTAATAGCTAATAGACGAGTCAGTTGCAGCACTTAAAAGTGTGCAGTATTCTTTTGTACGCCTCTGAGACAGGTACCAATAATCAATGGAAGGTAATATTACAAAGGGTGCACCAAAGGGCAAGGGGTAGGACCTGGGGATGGGGCCTCCCCCGGGTATAAAGCTCTGTAAATTGTTCCCCCCCCCGTCCTGCAGTGTACCACACCCTAAATGTACGAGAAGTCGATCATGTGATATGCGGAATAGGCACTATCTACATTTTGTATGTTGCAAAGGAAATAAGATCATAGTCGACAAAGTGGATGTAGATACAAACACCGGGATATTTACACAAAATACAGATTAACTTACAAGGAACCACATTGTAATGCCCGCGAAAACAGCCATCGTAAACGTAATAATAATAATAGGCCAGGCTTGCAATATTGAACCACTCGCCACTTCGGTCAGAATCTTTCCCAGTTCTTGTTGCCTTGTTATTACAACAACTCCTGGAACTTGTACGACAGGTATAAATTTGCTATACGCACTGTGCCCATATGAAGTCTTTGTCACTGGAAATATTATCTCTTGTGAGTTACTGTCGTTATCGTGGACCAGTTTTGTTTTGCCGTGTTGTTCGCAGTAACCGCATGACTCTATGACAAGATCAGAGATGACTTTCTGTAGCTCATTTGCGACCACGTTTGAATTAGCTGTGGGATCTGGAGTGCTGAGAACGCTTGCTGGAACTGTGATGTTTTCTTCGCAAGGGCAAGTCTCTAAAAAGAAATGGAAGTCATGAACGATAAGCGATAAGAAATAAACTTTTAACGTTTTTGTTAACAAAGACATTTTTTGTGTATTAATAAACGATTTTTGAATAAGATTTTAGTAATATTAAGAATAACCAAGGTCGAGACTCGAATACCAAAACCTTGACGTAACGAAACTCCGACGTTTCCGGATATTACATAAACTGAATCTATCGTCTTATTTTACGTAGTTTTAAAGAAAATATATAGCGACCAACGCAATGTTATGCGGAACACAGTAATTATATTTTTCAAGAAACGGTAGTAAGAACAGAAATTGGTCTCTAAAAATATTAAATTGCACCCACAACTAACAGATTTACTTTATCTGCAAGAAGAGTAGATTAGTGAGAAACCTGTATTGTGTGTCAATTTTCAGAATTAATTGTACACCCATAGCAAAGGAGAAGACAGCAAGTGCATACAGTCAACTTTGTTTTAGATTTATGTTACTGAGAATTTCAGGGATAAACTCAAAACATAGTAAATAATTACAAGGGAGATTAGTATTTTGAACTAATGGTGCTTGTTAATTGCGGCAAGGGCAACTCTGTTTGCCTTATGTAGTCGGATTAACGCTTCGCTGCTTTACGTTTTACACAGCAGATAATTGTGTTAATGATGATAATATTTGACTATTATGAACAAAATAAGAAAATTAGTTATAATTACTGACTGAATTGGATGACGTTTTTAAAGAAAATAACATGCCGACGTCACACGGAATACAGTTTGACATTTCTTGGAAATCATGCATTGCGTACCCAACCTACAAATAAGTTAGTTATCTGCTTGCAGATAACTGTATAGCAGTATACCTGGGATTATTATCAATAGCCTGTTGCAGATAACTGCACTACAGTGTCCCTGGGATTAGTATCTGCAGTAGCCTGTTGCAGATACTGTACCTCAGTATCTCTGGGATTAGTATCTGCAATATCCTTTGACAGATACTGTACCCCAGTATCCCTGGGATTAGTATCAATAGTCTGTTGCAGATAAATGTACTTTAGTATGCCTGGGATAAGTATCAATAGCCTGTTCCAGAAAGGGTTATGTCGCGTACCTCCGTAAGTTAGATCGCTGTATTTTCCAACACCCTTTGCAGTGAATATTGCCATTTGAATGCTGTATTGCGAGAATTTTGAGAGGTTTGTCAGCAAATACTCTTCAAAACTGCCGCATATTATTATTTTCTTCGGTTCCGATTTCGCGACGGGCTCCCCATTGACTCTCACCAGAGTAAAGAGAAGTACATAAGCCTGGATGTCGCCGTACAATATTTTTAACGTCTTGTGATCCCACTTCAGTTGTATGGTTGTCAATGTCCTTCTCATTGATGCACTGACTTTAGGGACGGTTTCCTCCATGGCTGTTTAAGACACGTACATAATTAAATGAATTTTAAAAAAAAAAGAGCAGGAACAAAGCAATTTAGAAATGAAGATATCAAACGAGCACAAATCATAATTATATATCATGTAAGATTTCTCTAAGTTCGTGAACATGCAAAAAGTTCATGTCTAGCCCTCCTCTTTTTTTTTCAAAATCTCTCTAAAAAATCTAACCCGACAATACGCGTCTACATCGTCACAACCATGTCATATTCATAATCTCTACAGAGCGGGAATCGTACAAAAAATTAACAATTAGTTCATGCGTCTGCGTGCGTATGTCGAGATATTGAGCACGCGGGAAGTTTGGAGAGCACGCAAGAGGCGTAAGAGTTGCACCAGGCTTAGCCGAGTGCAACTCTAGCCTCTTGAGTGCTCTCCAAACTTCCCAAGTGCTCAATATCTCGTCATACACACTGCTGAAACATGAACTAGTCGTTTTATAACATTATCAAAGCGATCAATGCATCAGTTAACTTAAAATTTTATTATTGTAGGCGCGCTCAAAGCAGCACGCGTCAATGTTTGCGTGAGTATATTTTTTTCCTCACAGTCAAGCTTATGTTTTTATCCTGAAACTGAGAGAAAGTGTACGCTAAAATGATTGTAAAATCCATATTTAGGTGCCAGAAAACTATTAATTCACACAAAAATTGTTATTGAGAGAAAACAACTTTGCAAAGAATGATCTCACGCCATAGCCCGCACAGCTCGCGGAGGTGCATCAACCTGCACGGAAGCTGCACTTTTGACGTCGCTGGTTGATTAATCGCAAAATTCTTCCAAATTTGGTCGTCAGTAGCTGGTTATGGTGAATTATGCGTGTGCTTTTAGCCAATTAGAATCGGAGAAATATTTTGAATGAATAATGATTACACTTATCTAAGAAACAAAATCAGTTAAAACAAATTCAGATCATATCAACACTTGAATTACTATTCAAACCATTGTTAGATTGACATCACATCATGGAACCGACGGGGACCTTCACTGACCGTCTGACTGGTTTAGCGAGCCCAATACAGGGCTAACGTTAATATTTGTTTCAGCCAGAAAAAAAGCAATACAACGATGGACTTCACTGCATTGTACTTACTTATTATTCTGTTTTCAGCTTGTGGATTACTCTAATGACGGCTTTCTTCCTAAATTAAGGGACTTGTCAGAAATTAGCAGGGGGGAGGGGGGTTGGGAATTTTAAATTTGGGTTTGGAAATGAGTTGACCCATCTCTACAATGAGAGTGAAATTTGCTAACCCTCCCCTTGACCTTGGACTAAAATATCGTGACCCTCCCCCTATTGTATAAATGATAAAATCTAGTTCTTGCAATACACTAGGGTGCTTTGAGTCGTTTCCTCCTCTCAACAACGTCTGAATCGACCGGCCGTTAATGCCGTCCAGTGACATCACCCAATACCCGAAAACCGGGTAGTGATTTTGATTGGTTGATTGTCTAAACATTCGCATAATTATGTATAATTATGAAAAATTTTAGCAGGATTGTCGCTTAATATTCAGCGGATCGCATCCCTGGCATTCTTTTTTCTTTTGTGGGTGAACCTCTACATGATCACGGACACATATTTGCATTACCCTCCCCCTTTTAACAGCCCATTTTTCATGACCCCTCCCTTTTCCGCAGTCTCAAAAAGTTGTGACCCTCCCTCTGTTTCCAACCCCCCCTCCCCCTTGCTAATTTCTGACAAGTCCCTAAGTATAAAAAATTCATCGTCCCCACCAGTGAAATTCAGTGGTTTAATTTCACCTCACCTCATCATTCTGCTAGAGTATATGTCCCGCTGTATTTTTATTATCAATTGTGATTAGTTACTTACGGTTTAGTATCGTAAGACACCCTGTTTTGTTTCCTAAGCCTTCCCTTGTAAAGGCAGCTACTTGAATACAGCCAGAAAATATGCCAGTGATGTTCGTCATACAGGTTGCAGAAAAAATCGAAGTATTTGCATCAGGCAGAAGCACAACGTAACCTTGAAGCAGGCCGTTTGGAAGACCTTCCAGGCTTTGCCATTGAACCGTAACAATTGAAGAGAAGTCTTGGTAAGCCAAGGCTTTTGGAGGTGGTAGTACAATAACATCTACGAAAAAGAACACCTTTAATCTTATTATTTCCCCCTAACTGAACGTCAATTACCTCAATGTCAGTAACTTGTGGCGTCGATTCTTTCCGTAATGCCGTTATCGCTCTGACACTTTCCTTCTTTAAATATTACAAACTTATTTTCCCCCTCTTTAATAAGCAACTCCGCTTACAGTTGTAACGATTTTCTTTGCTAGTCTCATACCATACTCATATATATCAAATATTCTTTGACTCAGAATGTGTAAAGGATCTGACTGAACTGACTCGATCGATATGTCATATTACGAGCTCATCATTTGAGGGGGAGGGAGAAAAGGTTAAAAACAAAACATGTTTACTTTAGTAATCTACTAATCCAATTGATTCAATTGCAAGTTCCAATCCCACGCGTTGTAGCTTCGGGGCACTGATGGGAAATATAAATTTCGTTTCGTTTTTCATGTGGTGGCAAGGAAAGAAGACGGAAATTCTACAGCTTCAAAAAATCTTACCGTTACGGACAAAGACGCACTCTCTGGCTGGACCTTCCTCTTGGATGGTGAAGGCACGAACTTGGACACAGTAGTTTGAATTACGCTGTAAACCATTAAGAACTACAGCATATTCACTACTGTTGCTAACCATATAGGTTATATTCCTCAAGGAGTTGGATCCCTGTACAGTATAGTATGATATGCGGTATCCTACGATGGTTGCACCGTGAATGTAATGAGGAACTGGTTCCCATGTAATCTCATAAGATGTAGAGTTGATCTTCCGCGAACTTAAAATGACTGGAGCTCCGATTGAATCTGTAAATTGATGAACAGAATATGCGAGAGGTAGTAGAAAGACATTAATAGAGGGCAGGTAAAAAATGCCATAGAGGGCAAAATAACATCAGTATGAAGTGACTGAGACATGAAAAATGATACACACAAATAACGTTTTTATAAGGGGGGTACGCAAGACACTAAATTGAGACAGAAAAATGTGACGTCAGAAAGAAAGATTTTTCGCAGTCTTGCAAAAAGGGTATCTTTTAGTCGAACACAAACTCGACATCCGTGTAATTCAGTTACTGTGCTATCATGACTTGAAGAAGCCGTCGTCACAAGCATTTCAAAGAAATTCATTTTCAAGTTTGAAGCAAATGTTTCTATTAATGTTCTCCATTTCCGGGATTTGACAGCTTGATCCGTGTCTGCTCAATTTTCACTTTTTCTTTTCTCTTTACACTTCCTTGACTTTGTAATGATTCTATACTACCTTCAACGGTTGACACTTCCGTTATTTGTATTTCCGGTGTTTTGGCCATGATGCCTTGCGAAGCTCATGTTACTATTTTATTCGGCCATATTGCCGCTCAGTATACAGTAAAACCACACAGTTTGTATGTTACGACTCAGAATCTATGCATGGCGTCAGAAGTAAAAGTGAAAACAACAAAGCAATGACTCTAAGCGGCATCGAATGCCCCGAAATGCACTGGGACGGTGACAATCTTAAAGAAAATCGGCGTCGCTTCAAATAGCACGTGGAGCTCATGTTCTCCGGTCCGCTCAAATCACGCCAAGAAGCCGAGAAATGAGCTACCTACTTATCTGGGTCGGACAAAAGGGACGTGATATCTACAACACGTGGACCGACATCACCGACGAGGACAAGAGTAAGTTGAAAACATATTACGATCGCTTCGAAGCTCACGTCAGTCCAAGAGCAAACCCTGTCTTCGCCAGATTTAAATTTCACAGCCGTTTTCAAGGATAGTCCGAAACAGCGTAGAAGTTCATCACAGATCTACGCATCCTCGCCCAAGACTGCGATTTCAAAGATACGACGAAATGATACGCGATCGCATGGTATTCGGCACTAACTCGCTCAAAGTGAGAGAAAAGCTAATAAGTAAAGGGTCCGCGCTAACACTCGACAAAGCGGTGGAACTTGCTAGATCATTCCAAGCATCTCAAGCACAGCTATCTGCCATGGCGAGCAGTAGCATTAATAACTCTGAGGAATCCGTTCACTTGGTCCAAAAACAAAAACACGCGGAAAGGACCACAGGGCACCCAACCATCAAACTCTCAACCCCCAAGAGGAACACGGTTATGCGGAAACTGTGGCCGCTCCCACAATTTACTTTCTAACTACTGGTCAGACATGTCTGTACTGCAACGATTTCACTCTTTAGAACAAGCCGGAAGCCAAGCCTCACAGGCAAGCGCCGAATCAACATTATCACCAGCATTTGAGTCGGTTGTTTTCGAATCAATTACCATAGCCGGTGTCTCGCGCAGAGTCTAATCGTTATAGAGATGAAGTGTTCGTATCAATTAATCGAAACCTGCCACAGGGCACTCACAAGAACACCGTCCTTAAAGCCAAGCTTGACACCGGTGCACAGGGCAACATACTCCCGATGCGGCTCTATCGTCAAATGTATCCGCACAACCTAGACGATCATAGAAGTCTCAGACCAGTCTCATCCTCGGATGTTATCCTCACTGCCTATGGCGGCTCACAAATCAAACATCACGCTACTGTTACCATACCTTGTTCCTACAAAGGGGAAAAAGCTCGCGCATTCTTCTATGTCACAGACACCCCAGGCCCAGCAATTATAGGCCTCCTGACTTCCACCGACTTGAAGCTGCTGACACTTAACTTTTCTGTTGAGGAAAATGACCCTGCACCCCGCAACAATACAGTTTCCAAGGAGCAACACATTAAGAACAAACAGGACCTCAGTCAGTATCCCGAGTGCTTCATTGGAGTGGGAAAGTTCCAAGGCGAATACCACATAGTACTTGACCCTAATGTCCCCGCAGTTGTCCATCCCCCAAGGCGTATGCCAATCAGCCTCAAGGACGACATCAAAAGGGAACTGGACGAGATAGTTAACAGTGACATTATAACAACGATCAGAGAAGGTGAACCTACACAATGGGTCAACAGCCTTGTTTACCGCCGCAAGCAGAACGGGAGGTTGAGGCTCTGCCTGGATCCCAAAGACCTCAATGCAGCCATTCAGAGAGAACACCATGTCACTCCAACCCTAGAAGAAATCCTACCAAAGCTAGCTGATGCTAAAGTATTTTCTATGGTGGATGCAAAATGCGGGTACTGGAACATGGTCCTGGCAGAAACTCATAAGGGGTTGAAACGTGTAACTCGCGTTCAATGCTCGTGAATATTCATTTTGACCATATTTGGAAACCTTAGTGACGGATATCCATTTTCAACAAAATGGCTACTGTGCGATCACCATGCAGATGTTTTAAGACAAGAGTTCTGCATTTCAAGGTTAAAAATACACCGTTAAAAGACAAAAACTGGAAAGAGAAAGTTCAAAAGAATGCTCAGCTTTCTTTTTGTGGAGAAAGGGAAGCTTTTCATCAAGAAATCGTCCTTCGAGGAATTCAACCTTGTTTTCTTCACGGCGGAGCCCATGGTCTGTTTTGAAATGCAACCAAGTCAGCGAACTTTTTGCTGAATTTTCAGGTACATTTTGCACTCTGTGACCAAGACAATTACGTTTTTGAAACGGAATTTAATTTATGTTTCATAGACGTTTTATAAATTTTTCTCTTCGGCGCTAAAGAAAAATTACAAAATGTGCCCTGATTTGAGATGGATTTTGTGAAGAATTTTGCCATATGCTTGGCCGATTTCCCTTGCGTGAACGAATCCACGATCCAGATAGTGTTTTCCGAATTGCTTTAAAGGATTAACTTTTTGGACTTTGAATAAAAATTTCCAAGAAACGGCTTCTCTGTCTATTGTTTTGAGTTTGTTCATTCATAAAATTAGCTCAAAACACGATCGTGACAACATCTAAGTTTAATTTAAGCTTTTAAAATGCTTCTCACATTCATTACAAGCATCACTTTTTGCGAAGATGTCAGGTTCAGGTTTTGGACACTTTTCGATAAGCAGCTAATGAATTTTATTCGAAAATATTTTTCACTGTTTATTCTAGACTTTTAACATAAGAATTTTAAAAGCCTATTTGCAGTATAAGTTTACTGTACAGAGGGTCAACGAGGCATCGTTTTTTGAAGTGACAACTTCAAGAAGTTGCGAGGCAGTCAGTGGGTTTCATAATGTCACGTTTGGCCCGGGTGGTAAGGCAATAATATCCTGTTCAGTGTTTCGGTAATATTTCTGGTTTCAACCTTTGAAAGCTTTCTCGGCTTTCGAGAGTTTTTCTCCCGTTTGTCGGCCATTTTTTTAAGCGGGCGCGGGAACCTGAAGGAAAATTACGTCACGTTGTTTACGAAATTTGATTGGTCAGTTATCTCTTCTTCTCGTTCCAAATATGGTACTTTCGAAAATGAATAATCACGAGCATCGGACAAAGCAAACATATGAGAGTTACACGTTTCAACCCCTTATGAGTTTCTGGTCCTGGATAAAGAATCTTGTTACCTCACTACATTTAATTCGCCATTTGGTAATACAGATTCAAGCGCATGCCCTTTGGGCTCAAAATGTCTTAAGACGTTTTCCAGACCAAGATAGAGCAAACATTTGAAGGATGCGAAGGCGTCGAATTGCAGATGAAATTGTACTTATCGGGAAGACCACAGAGGAACACGACCGCAACGTGCACGCGATGCTAAATCGTTGCATAGATACTGGACGCTAAACCCTGACAAGTGCTTATGTAAAGCAAGAGAAGATCAAATTCTATGCAGTAATTTGTGGCCAAGATGGTGCTCTGCTTTGAAGCAGATGTCTTCCCCTACAAATTGCCAGGAACTGCAAACCTTGTTAGGGGCTAGCAAACTACATGGGCCCATTTATCCCAAACCTGAGTACACTGACGGCCCCACTCCGTGAGCTCCTGAAAGAGGACAACCACTTTAAATGGTACGCAGCGCACCAAGAGTCTTTTAATAGGATCAAAGACTCTATCAGCAACGAAATCACTCTGACATACTTCGATCCAATGAAAGAAACCATTCTTCAAGTTGATGCTTCCATGAAAGGCTTAGGTGCTGCCGTCACACAAGACCGTAAACCTGTCGCTTTCGCCAGTAACGCCCTAATAGATGTCGAGTCAAGATACGCAAACGTCGAAAGGGAATTGCTTTCTGTTGTCTACGGCTGCGACAAATTCCACACCTAACTGTACGGCCACACTGACCACAAGCCCCTCGAAAGCATCCACCTGAAACACCTGAGAGCTGCTCCCCCGTGTATTCAGCGGATGTTGCTAAGACTGCAAACATATGACCTCACCATTCGCTACCAACCGGGCAAAGACATGGAAGTCGCTGATGCCCTGTCAAGATTATCAGCAGAGAGTCAAGACCCTATCCCCGGAATGAACGTCCGAATACACGAGATCTTTCCTCAGTTTAGTAGCAGCATGTTGCAGAAGATCAAAGAACAGAGCAGCTTGGACGCAGAGCTCAATGCACTGAAAGAAATGATCCACGCAGGTTGCACACATCCAGCAAGTCCCAACACTCTTAAAGCCATACTGGTCCTACTGGGAGGAGCTAGCCACCGAAGACGGAATAGTCATGAAATCCTACCGTATTATCATTCCCGCCACGCTGCAGAAAGAGATTTTGACGAAACTACACGCACCACACCAAGGAACCGAGAGAACTAAGCTAAGAGCTAGAACCTCAGTCTACTGGAGAGGCTTGTACAAGGACATAGAAGAAACCACAAAAACATGCAGTACATGTGAGGGCCTCCAGCATAGCCAACAAAAAGAATCCCTAATCACCACAGAGGTACCCCCCAAGGCATGGCACACCATTGGCGCTGATCTCTTCGCTCTTGATGGCTCCGAATATCTCGTAGTTGCTGATTATTACTCAAAGTATTCCTTTGTAGCGGAGCTCCTTGCGCGCGCGAACCGCGCGCGAGCGAAGCACCATAACTAAGATAATTTGGTAAACTATCCATCCGAGAAATTTTGGTTATGACGTCAGCGTACGTCCGTCCGTACGGACTTTCCGGGTAGTGGAAAGTAGTCCGCATGGATTCTTGGGGTAGGGGAAAGTAGACATTTTTTGGCGGGAAATCGCATGGCGCAACGTCGCGCAATTATATCGCCAACTTGTTTTGAAAAAAGAAATTTCAAAGCAACTTAATGGCAAAAAATTTTTCGACAGAGCCTTTATAACTTTTTATTACAACTTACGAAAGCCAACAAACAACAAAACAAACAGCAGAGAGATTACAGCGTCTAGACGACAGGTTTTAAGGAGAGAGGAAGAGTCAACACGCGTAGAGCAAGCGAAGACGATCGCCAAAGAGAGCGCGTTAGAAGTAGAAGAAGAAGACAAAATTTTAGCGAAGAAAGTCGGCAAGTAGAAAGAGTCAGGGAGAGAAGAATGAGAGAAAATTATAGTGAAAAACGCCTTCAAGCAGAACGAGACAGAGCTAGAATGAATAGACAAAGGCAACGCGAAAGATAAATACAAAGGCAAAGAGAACGGCAGCAAAATAACGACATGATGACAGAAAGTGTTGTGTTAATGTCTCTATGGCCCCGCGCTATTAGCATTTTGATTTCAAACTGATCTCGGACGCGAAAATTCAGCCAGTCATTTAAAAATACAAGCAGGGAAGACAGAGGCTTTTCACTTTTCTCATCATAGTCAGGCATTGATCACGCTCTACGACCGTCCAATTTTTATGCTCTGATTGCGTGTCTTATTCAGCATCTTGAATCTTGTTTACTTTGACAGCTGAAGCGGACAGAGTTTTTTGTCAACTTGTGATGTTTTTTACTGTCTTTTACTGTCTTACTGTCCGCCGGATGCCTAAAATGAAATACAGCTGCCGTCAACAGTCTTCTGTTATTCATGGCTGGTTTGTTTATTGAATTTTTGGTTGAGAAATGCGCTGCTTGTCAAAGCTGGAAATCCGATTTCGGATGACATTGTTTTCGTTTTTCACCTTGCTGGATGCGGGTGGTTTAAAGAGTCCCTCAAGCGATTCTGGCCTTACCTGATAGCTTTCAGGAGTTGCATCTCGAATGGTAAGCCTGAGTAATTATTGCATACAGTGTATGTGTTTGTTTTTTCTGTATCTAATTTCATGAAGTCGAGCGCAGTTTATGAGGCTAGTTTATGCACAATTGTTTTAAGATCTGAGACAATGATCTGATCTAGTATGAGCTTTGATACAAGCTTACAGAGCTTTAAGAAGCCTTTAGTCGATATTTGCTCTCCATAAATAGAAAGAAAAAGCGTTCCGAAGAGTATTTGTTATAATTTTGGCTGTAGAAAGAAAGCTTTGAGCGATTTTCTTGCCTCGAGTTCATCTTTGAAAACAGTAAACACCAGGAAGCCGGCTAAAAGCTTTAAGCTTAAGCTTAAAGACTGAGGATTTTTAGAGACGCTTTAATGCTTGTCTTCGTGAATGAAAATTGTTGTCTCTGTAAATGTTTCACCGAATTACATTTCTTTTCTTGATTGTTAGTAGTTTCTTGCAATTTTAATCGCTTTGCCGTTTATTTTCAGTCGTTCATAAACATCGCTTGCAGGAGTACTCAAAATGCCGAGCGTATCAAACGCTTTTTAAGATTACACATCGTTATAAAACCATTAAATAAAAAAAAATAAACACAATAAATGCTTTATTGTGTTGAAGCGTAACTCTTTTAATGTTCACTGAAAATTTGACGCTTGTCAAAAGTGAGAACCGGCTGGCCGTGTAGGTGATTTTGGAAATTTTTTGAACGGTTTTGCCAAAAGCCCACGCTTGCGTCGTACGGTTCTGAATATTGAACAAGTGCAATTTGTCTTGAAAAATTGTGAAATATTGCATTTTGTCTGAGGTCTGTATGATAAAAACAGCGCCTCATATTACTGTTTCACCTCAGATGTGATGTATAAAAAGTATGAAATGTTCGTTTACACGCACCCAGAGTTGTTGGCAAGATTTTTTTAAGTAAACTCGTAGAATGCAAAAAATTCGGCCGGATTTGTTTTCCAACAATTCGTTTTCGAGGCCTAATCTACTGTGATCAAGGTCCATTATGGCTCTTAAATGTGGTCGAAGATCATTGCTATTTTTTGGGTGCATATATACGGCTATCAATTCGATGTAAGATTTTTTTTTCACTCTAAAATCACTTAGCCTTAGCTTTCAGGATTTGCGTTTCGGTTTTTTAGTTATGAAGGTGGGGAAGGAGCGCTAACAAAGGGGCTGTGAAGCGCTTATACGAAGGTCTATCATAGATTATTTTTCATTGTACCTCCATTACAGCTACTTGAAACTCCTCTTCCAAATGTTGTGTATCCATAGACTTCCACGCAATAAACTTGCTCTGATTTTATTCCTTTTATCAATTCCCAGAAAGGTGGCTCATCGGAATGCCTCCGAACATCCAACAAATAATTTCCTGGGCCGATGACGTCAATCTCGTATCCCAGGAGAGTATAGCCACGAAAATACGCAAGCAAAGGACTCCACGCAACCTCTAACCCATCCGCAGAGAACCAATAAGAGACATTTTCAGGTGCACGGGTAGGGACTTCAAAGAAAAAAGCAATTTGTGCTTCATAAGTGGGACTTTTAACCTACGGACTGTAGCCAAGATGTTACTGAGTGCGAGTTTTTACCTTAGCAGGGAGTTATGGTTTTTACAATATAACCTAATTTTATCTTCTTGTTGAAAACTGTTATAATAATAATAACAATAATAATATGAATGAAAATAACAATTGATAATAATGTTGGCTTATCGAGTTTCCTTTCCCATCATAATATAGAGAGTTTTTATAAGCCAAGGGAAACAATATTGGCAAGGAAGCTCTGATGACTGAAGGGCTACAACAACAACAACACTGACAGAAGAAACAAGTCTTATTTTCACGACTAGAAAAACGTATAACATCACAGTAGTGCAAAAGCCACTAAATTTAACTCTTTATTATAAATTACTATTCAGTAATTTAACCATCTATAAAAAAAGGAAGGGAGGAGAAAAAAATCAATAATTACTTATTTTTAACCATTCATAGGAGTTGTTTTGCCGGGTTAAAGTTTGTCTCTTGAATCAAAGAATGATAAGATAATAGACTTAATTGGATTCTTTTAAAACAGTCAGTACTGTAGAAAAAAAAATAAAAGGGTCGCACCTCTTTCCAGGTAACTTTTCCCATAAATCTCCATTCTAAAACAAAGCTTTTCAACCCAGCCTGTCGGCCACAGAGTCACGTATTTTGCCACTACTCCAGACTCTAGAATGGCGTTCTTTTTCACAGCATATCTGTTGTTGTTAGCCTCGAATATCTGAAACAGATTGAAAGTCCCCATTAAAACTTGGATACGTTTGGAAAGGTTCCACATAAAACACATCAGTTCATCCTATACCTCAAACTCTACCACATTTGACTTTCCAGAGCTAACACAATCCTTCATCAAAAAAATTCTTTTTGAACACCATCCTACAAAAGCTACGTTTGCGTACCCGACTAGATGGAATAAGGTGGGTCTGTTATATGAAATTAAACTGCTCCTGCATTAACAGAGTCACTAGAAAAAATTAGATCTCTATGCCTTTCAGAAAGTCAGCTATCCCTGCTACAAGAAAAAATTCATATGTTCCACCAATGTTCAGAGTTAGCGATCATCTCAACGTTGGCTATTACAACTCACTAGCATTCTGCCTGTATTGTTTATTAAGTTACTCGATCGCGAACGCCACGTCCATTTATCAACTTGCGAGTAACTAAGCTAAGCGATTATTCCAGTACCAACTCTTGTGAATCTTCCATGCTTGAGTTCGGGGCTAATCTGTTAGCTAACACGAAGACTGGCCTTGCGACGGGACAATTTGTAATCGATTTCCTAAAACTTGGCTTTTGACCTGGTTGACAATGGGGTCTTGCTCAGGGAGTTTGCAACTTACCAACTCTCAGACGCATCACTCTAAGCGGTTCACGTTATATGTTGAAGGGCACCGACAGAAAGTTAGCGTCAGTGGTGTGTTACCCAGCTCCCTCTCAATGACATTCGGAGCTCTACAAAGCTCTATTTTAGGTCCGCTCTTGTTTATCGTTTTCATAGTCGATGTACCGTTACATCCTTTGTCGACCGCTTTGGTCGTTTCGGTTCCGTATGGAAAATTGCATATTTTCTTTCCTGGAACAATTTTAAAAGCTTTCTGTTTAAGCCATTTGGCAAGCAACGAAAACAGCAAAGATTCATCTCTCTATGGGTACTTCATTTTACACATTTCGAACAATCCTGACACAGTTACACACAAAAAGCCAATTAACATGCATTTTGGGGAAAAATCCACGCCAGTTTTGCTATTGACCTACTTCTTTTTGCAGATTTATTTTGTTCCTTACCTGGAAAGTTAGCCAGCCACAGTTCCACCGACAGAAAAACCGTAAAGTGGGTAACAAAACTAATTATAAAAAGAGAGGCAAAGGGAAAAAGCCGAGATCGAGAAAAAAAACATCGAAATATGTTTTATCTTTAAAAAATGGCTTGCACGCATGTGATAAAAGGAATAAACAAACAATCAAAATAATTCCTTGATAGGACAATTGCAAGATGACATCATTTTACTACAACTGCCAGAATCATTCAGTTAGTTGTTGTCTTGTGCAAATAAGGGCTATTATTTATACCTCAGTGGGATTGACAAATTTAAATAAGAAAGCAAAATGAAATGAATTCTGGTAGTTGAAGTAAAATGTCGTCATCGTGAAAGCTGTCTATTACATCCAATACACACGTACGACGTAAGCAGGAAAGCGAAGTCTAAGTGACACCAGACTTTCCGCAAACTTCAAAAAAAGTAAATGGGGCGGGGAAAACAAGACGAATTTGTGATTTAAAATTAACCTCAACAGATATTCCTGGAGCACTAATAGTAAATGAACAAGCGTTGGAAAGTGGACAGTGGAGAAACTAGCTTTGGCAAGGATCCTTCGGAAATACATAAAAAAGGTTGTCTTTCCTATAATCGGAACGATTATTGCAAAACGCAGCAGCGCAGCAATTGTGAGAACTATGTCACGGAGTTTTGTGTTACATTTCGCGCGTGACATTTTTTGTTCTTAGATGTAGCCGATCACGTTTCGAACACGTGGTCATGTGACACTTTGAACGGAGTAGTTTTTTGATTTAGAGAATTGTAATTTTGTTGAAGGCAGGTGTATCGGTTTAGAAGCTCGTTACTGTAAGAGATCTATTGGTTTCGAATAAAATCTATCACATTTGGTCCCAAGAACCGGATTTGGAGTCAGAACTAGCTGAATTATGCCTGGAAAACTAGCGAAGAACCTGAAAATACGTGCGGCACATCGCTTAAACACAAGGAAAGTTTTTGCATCAGTCGATGAACTTCTCATGGATTACGATGGGTGTGATACCACTAAAGACAAGATAAAACGGATAACTATTACGCTCAATGAAAAATTAGCGACCTTAAAGGCCTTGGACGAATCGATTTTGGCCGCAATCGACGAAGGAAATTTAGAACCTGAGATAGAGGAATCTGAAGAGTTTCGCGCGCGAAGTCATGGCACCCTTATCAAGTTGCAGAAATGTGAAAATTCTCATGGCAAACAAGAATCGCCTCAAGGAAGTCAAGGTGGGTCTGTTCCATCTAGTTCTAGTAACGGTGCGAAGCTGCAGAGTGGTATAATTGAGCAAGTAGACTTTGGCAAGCGTCCTGATGTTGGAAGGGTGCATTATTTACCGCATCATGGGGTGGTACGCCGGGATGCCCTTACAACCAAACTTCGTGTTGTCTTTGATGCGTCGTCAAAGCCCAGCAGTGAAAGTCCAAGTCTTAACGAATGTCTTTACTCGGGACCAGCCTTAACTCCAACAATCTTCAATGTTCTCCTCCGGTTTAGAGAGAAAAGAATTGCACTTGTAGGAGACATTGAAAAGGCCTTTCTCAATGTGGGAGTTGCTGAAGAAGATCGTGATGTCCTGCGATTCCTCTGGTGGACAGTTTAGAAGAAGAGAATCCCGGATTGATGTTATATCGGTTTTGTCGTGTGGTGTTTTGAATACTAGCCCTTTCTTTTAAATTCCACTTTGAAGTATCACTTATCAGTCAATATAAAGGCTGGACCCTGGTTTTAGTTCACAACTTGTTGAATTCATTTGGATGATTTTGTGACAGGAAAAGGTGTTGAGGGAGTGTCTGTCGCTTTATCAGAAGTCTAAAGTGCCTATTGGAAGGTGGGTTAACTTATGAAAGAATTTCAATTCAAATTATAATTGCTTAATTGATTTATGAGACAAGTTTGGGACTGTCGAAACTTTTATTAACATAGTGGAGGATACAGGGTCTTATGCAAAACTACTGTCAATCATTTAAGAAGCGGTACGGAGATGAACACAAGTACTTGGTCTGGTGGAACTTCCAGCCAGTACTAAGTGAGTTCATTTTAGAATTTGAAGCCTTACTGAAGTTTTCAGAAGACTTGAGCGACCAGGAGGCTTGTTAAGTTACTTCGAAGGTTTCTTTGACCCCCATGGAGTACTCAATTCCAATACTGGTGGAAACTGAAGATTTTATTTCGATCTCTTTTGCAGGACAAGTTTGAATGGGATGCCTCACTCCCAGGTCACCGGAAGCAGTGGGTGGTAACTGGGACTTGAGGAAGGTGCAGCAAGTGTTAATGTGAGGGTGTGTGTATGCTGGATTAGAGGAAGGTGTTACGTCGTATGTTGTTCATGGGTTTGGGGAAGCTTCGGAGAAGGTTTATTGTGCTGCTGTTTACTTGGTTCTTGAAGTGAGTGGTGATTTTTTTCCAGTTTTGTTGTCATCCAAAACCAGAGTGGCACCGCTGACAAGGCAGTCTATCCCTAGACTCGAATTACTGTCTGGGGTCATCTTAGCAAGATTGGTGTCCTAGTTAAAGAAGCCTTGGCGTCACAGATTACAATTGACAAGACACACTTGTGGCTAGACAGCAATACTGCAATCTGCTGGATAAAGGGTTCGAAGGAGTGGAAGCAGTTTGTGCAAAATCATGTGAATGAAATCTTGTCTTTAACCGAAGAGAGCATGTGGAACCATTGTCCTGGCGTTGAGAACCCAGCAGACATAGGATCTCGCGGAGAAAGTGCGGCTAAGTTAAAGAGTAATGTGTTGTGGGGGAAGGGACCATCTTGGCTGTCGGAGCCCATGAGAAACTGGCCCAGTTCTGAGGAATGTTCCGAAACAATTGCTGAAGAGAGATAGAAAGGCCAAGCTATCGAAGCAGTTGGTGAAGCGGTATTGTTAACTACAAATGGAATACCCAATATGGACACTATTATTCCGATCACAGATTTTAGCTTCTGTGACAAGTTGTTTCGTATTACGGTCTTGGTGTTGCGCTTTGTGAAAAATTTAAAAATCAAGGCCAAGTTGCTAAAGGAAGGAACTGTTTACTTGGGAGACGTTACTGCAGAAGAACTTGGAAATGTAGAAGTGAAGTGGTTAAGAAGTGTCCAGAAAGAATTGAGGTCCCTAGCAAATCACAGTCAGTTAGAGCGAGACTTTGGTTTGTACGAAGGCAGTAGTGAAGTCCTAAGATGTAAGGGGAGAATTGCTAATGCTGATGTACCACATGAGACGAAGTTCCCAGCCTTACTACCAAAGAATCATTATCTTTCAACTCTGTTGGTGAGAGATGCTCATGAAAGGGTGCATCACAATAGGGTAGAAGCTACGCTAGCCCAGCTGAGAACCAGATTTTGGATTGTCAAGGGACGACAGTTTGTTAAAAGAACACTGGCTAGCTGTACAGTTTGTCGCAGATATGAAGGAAAGAGTTACAGAGTGCCTCCTCAAAGTGACCTACCCGAGTTTAGATTGAGCCAGATCCCTGCCTTTACTTATGTCAGAGTAGATTATGCTGGACCTTTGTACAGTAAGGTGTCAGGACAGTCTGGGTTACAGAAGGTCTATGTTCTCTTGTTTACTTACTGTTCTGTGAGAGCAGTACATTTAGAGCTTGCTACGGACCTGTCGGTTGATGTATTCATCCGTTGCCTGAGGAGATTCGCAGCTAGAAGGGGTTTACCAGAACTGATTATCTCGGACAATGCTAAAACGTTTAAGGCTGCAGATAAAATTTTGAGCAAGTTATTTTCTTACCCAAGAGTCAAGAAATTCATGGCCAGTAAAAAAATTGACTGGAGATTTAATGTGGACAGAGCGCCCTGGTGGGGTGGCTTTTTTGAGCGATTGATTCAGAATACAAAGAGATGTTTGCGGAAGATACTTAGGAACGCTAAGTTAAACTATGACGAATTGCACACTGTTCTCGTCGAGGTTGAGGGAACTCTTAACTGTAGACCCTTAACTTACGTATCTTCAGATGATCCTAAAGAACCATTGACACCAAGTCACTTGATGTATGGAAGACGAATATTATCACTGCCGGAGGTAACAGGAAATCGACAAGCCTCACTTAACCATACAGTGTCGTCGGAAGATCTCCCAAGAAGACGGAAGTACTTTGGATTGTTACTGGAACACTTCTGGAGGCGCTGGAGCAGAGAATATGTTACAGAGTTAAGGAACCCGCATCGGCAGAAATCCAGGCCTAGATCCAGTAATCCTGTATCTGAGGGAGATGTTGTTACCGTTTTAGAAGACAATCTACCCCGTAGTCAGTGGAAACTTGGACGAGTGGAGCAGTTGATCCATGGTGCGGACGATCGCGTTAGAGCAGCTTTAGTCAAGGTTATGAGTAAGAGTGGTAGACCTGTTACTATGAAGAGACCAGTGCAAAGGCTGTTTCCTCTGAAGATACCTGTCGTGAGTAATGATGAACAACCTCGGGAGGAGCAGATAATTGATGGCATCAGGCCACCCAGGCGTCTTGCCGCTCGGAATGCTGATTATATTCGGAGACTAGTTGACCAGTGATTCGACTGGTCAAGGGGGGAGTGTGTCACGGAGTTTTGTGTTACATTTCGCGCGTGACATTTTTTGATCTTAGATGTAGCTGATCACGTTTCCAACACGTGTTCATGTGACACTTTGAACGGAGAATTGTAATTTTGTTGAAGGCACGTGTATCGGTTTAGAAGACCGTTACTTTGTGGAACCCTATCGTTTTTGGCAAGTGTATCGGAATAGAAGCCCGTTACTGTAAGAGATCTATTGGTTTCGAATAAAATCTATCACAAACTATTTTTTGTCGTTGTTTTAGGGTGCTCGTCTGCCACGTTATACAATTTAATAGCGATGTGACCCTTAGGCCTCGCTTTAATGCTTACGTCGTAGTGTCAGTATATAAAGCAAACCTTGCCTTTCAGTGTCAGAAATATTGTTTAGCCATTCCCTTGCTAATTGGCGGAATACCGGTCCAAAAAGAAAAATTTGGTAAAATGGCGGATCAGTTGCTGCTAAATGGCTGTCTCCAAAGGCTTAATTATATTACATAGTTACGCGTTGTTTCCTTTAGATTTTTTACGTTTACTATGTTAGAGGGGCTTGAAAATTCTGACTATTAAAATAGGAATTGCAATTGTACCATCAACGACACAAACCTTTACGTTTCCATTTTCCATATAATAGTCGCCTTTGGAATATGATGCAGCAAGCTCAATCTTGTATTGGAAAACATACCAATCTTTATGAGAGTATCCCTGCGTTCCAATGGCGCAAATGAAATGACTTGATTGTAGGTTTACTCTAAGATAAGCATCAACGCTGCTGTCAAAACACAATCCCCCTGAAGAACTCAGGCGAGGAGAAAGCATGTCATTTCCGACAGACTGTTTTTTATAAGCTAACGAAGTTTCTGGAATCGCTAAATTTTCCATACCAAGGGGACGGTCTGAACAGTCTTGCTGGCTGTAATCTGTGATTCAAACAAAACTTTCTCTTAGTTTTTAGTTGGCGCAAATGCTAGAATGTTTGAAATAATATATCAGGATTATCTATAATAAAGATCTCTCCGAGGCGAAAAAAAAAACCCAAAAAAAAGCATGAAGCTCCTGTCAGTCAATGGACTGTTTACAGTCTCCTATTCCGTAAGATATACGATTCGCGAACAAGAGATAACTTTACGGGCACGGAGTTGTTTGTGAACGTACTGAGAGGTGGGTGTCAGGGTATATATCGCCTTCGTCCGCGAAGCTTTGCAACCCGAAGCCTATCACTGTGTATACATTTGTGGATAAAGTGCTCTTACATGAAAGCAGAAGACTTTAAAGTGCGGCTTAAAGTAAGTACTTTAAGTATATATACTTTAAGTACTTTACTTTTTGGTAATAATTCCTTTCGTGTTAATCATCCTTTCATGCTCTATCAATCCTTCCCTCTCCCCGAAAAATCGCCAGGTTGACTTACCCTTTCTCTTGCACAGGAAATCAGTACATTGAAATGAGCAGGACATCGCTGTCCATGATTTATTTTGTTCAACATATGCAACACATTTGAAGTCTGGATTACCACTGCCCTCAAAAACATTCAAAATTGTGAAGTTGACTAGAGAACCATCTGTCCACGTGGTATTAATGCCTTTGTTTCGTAATCCAATCCACGCACATTGAGAGCCTGGATTCAATAAGGAAGCTGCTAACTGATTTTCAGGTGGACTGTGAATTGAAGCTAATTCAGAATTTTTATTAAGACAGTGGTTATTGGCATCCTTCCATGACTTATTCTGACTGAACGCTCGATAGCAATGGCCACCATAACTTCTCCATCCATCTGGGCATACTGTGAAGTAAAAGAAAATTTTAAAACCATAGTAAACAACCCAAAATGACATTCTAGCCCTGGAAACAACAAGTTTTAATTATGTCAAATGACTAAATGCAACGTCAGATTAATCAGGGAAAAGTCTACAGTCATATATATGTGGTATCAGCTATTTGCACAGTCTGTAAGAGATATTTTCTCAACTCTTAATTCTTATTGGACAAAAAAATCCACTGATATGTTCGAAAAGTAAATGGGCAAAAGAATGGGCAAAAGCTAAAAAGACAAAAAGCGGTGCAAATCGCTGCACGTGCAATCCTAAGAAGCCCAGAGTACATCATGAATAAATAAATTGATTAAAATTTTAAAAAAAATCAAACACACCAGCTAGAACTGGGCAAAACTGAAAAAAAACATAATATTCATTTTTTACCGCCGTTTGGGTGGGGCTTCATGTAAACCTAAGTACACGTTCACTGTATGCAAATCTTCGAGAAGCTGATGCATTGCACGTGCAAAACGTGCAGAGAACAAAAGATATTGCAAAAGTTGACTTTACATGGAGCACCAACCCAATTGGGAAATTAGGGAATATTATGATAATTTCCGCTTTGGCCAATCAATCATTTCATCAATCAATTAATCATTTATTTTGACACGTTACGTCTAGGAGCTAAAAGCTCGTTCAAAATACGAACGTGATACGTTGACACAGTCCTGTAATCCATTTCCATTTCAAACGACGTTTAAAAGGAGAAAAGTTGTCCCAAAGAAAAGAGTCACCAGCTTACCCGAGCTAACCTGGACGAACCAACTTTGAATACATTTCCTTACAAAACATGTTGGCTTGGCTAGAAGGCTGAGCCACCTAGGCGGGTCACCCTCCTGGCGCCGAGCCAATTTTTTTCTTCTCTTGTTAACGGTTCGCCTCGTTTTGTAAGGAAATGTATTTTTCTCTATACAAAGGTTTTGGCGCACCCAGCTAGATCAACTCGTTCAGGCGAGACAATCAGAGCATACGCGAGGGCTGTTGGCTCCGGGAAAGGGGTTAATTTTTTTCTCATATTAACGCTCACTAAAGTTGACACAGTTGGAGGGTGGACCCGTCTACCCGGAACAGGTTTTCTCCACATAGACGAGGCCTCAGGCTTAAAGGTACAGATTGCACGAGACAATTTCATTGGGTTGTCTGTGTCTTTCGCGACTTTACGTTTTACAATTGAATTTCTTTTAGGGTTTTTTTCTTATTACATGCGAATTTAATCTTACCCAACTATTTACCTATTCCAATGTAATCAATTAAAAAGTATTAGTTTAAATAACTTTTCAACTAAGCAAAATAACAAAATACCTGAAGGTGTTGTGAAAGAGACACACTCACTCCACGGACCATCCCTTATGCTGTGAGAAACTAGCACTGACACACAGTAAGCAGTGTTCAATTCTAATTCCATTATAATCCGGTTATAGTGGTCTGATTGAAACTTATAAACCTTTTTTCCTCCCTGTTTCGAAAGTAATAGTTTCATTAGGTAAGTTTCTTTTCTGGACACGACGACGTAGAGTGGTAATTGCCAAGCTACCAGGGCTGATCGCATGGTTAAAGAGGTAACAGAGATCTTTATTGGCGGACCATCCACGGGACCTGTAAGAAACAAATCATGTCTAAGAGCTCTAATAGAATCACTATCAGTGAAAACAGCATAAAAAGCCAATCACATGAAAAAAGGTCAATGCCATAGTTTATGGAGTAAAAGCAAAATGAATTGTTGTCTATTATTTTGTCAGCTTGTAGTAAACAAGTACTAAAAAAAGTTTACCAAATTATTGTGATTTATCAGTGGTAAGCAGATAAAATATTTTCCGATGCCAAATGCAGAGGAAAGTGAATTGCAAGACACTGCCAAGTGATGATCCCTTGCGAAACGGTACGTTAACATTATATGCAAGGAGGCAAACAGAGTTTATTATTTGGATTCAAAAATACTCAATAATTATTAAAGTAAATTATAATGATCAGAAAAATTATCCCAGAATCCTTTGAGGCAACTTTTTAAAAAGCTTTATGACCCATTCGCGCCTGAACCGCCGGTAACCGCCCGTGCGGATCCACGTTTTTTCTACCCTTTGTGACGTCATCAGTTTTAACGGTCAAGGACAACTTTGTCCGCTAACTTGTGCAGAGTGAAGAGATCTTTCAAACCATACCAGAATGAGCACAATTCAGTCAAGGACACCGGAGAAAGAGGCAAAAAACCATGTAACATTGACCTGAAAATCTCCATGAAAATCTTGTTCCATTGCTCACCTACCTTTCCTTTCACCTAATCCTAAGATCCTAAAAGCTTTCCTAAAAACTATTCCCACCAAAATGAAGCCTACTAAATGCCCAGCAAGAGAAAAGAAAAAATGAGGCAAGAAAAGCGAAAAAAGAGGGGAGGAGAGAAAGCGAAAGGTAAAAGTCAAGACTGCTGTGTCACTTTTAAACTCAAAAACCATCATTTTGCTTTCTGCTCGCGCATGCCCGAACTTCGCAAGCTGATATTTTGCATCTGGATCAGAAGGCCGTGAAGTGTACGACCTGTAAACCGGTTTGTGGTGAGTTTTAGCTCTTTATAGCAGGGCAGTGGGCAGAAAACCACTCGAGTACCTTCAAAACGCGTTTTTCCGGCAAAATCTCCAGGAGCGAATGGGATAACTTTGACAATTTTATACGTAGAAGAATGTCAGACCGCAACAAGATAACATTTGCCATGAAATATCTTCCCATGTCACATCTAGGGTGATGACGTCATCAGTCACGGGACTATTTCCGAATTGGGTTTTTTGGTTGCTGTGACAAGATGGCATTATTGGGTTAAAAATAAACACTTTATCTGAGGTTTTGATCGTGTGGGGCATTTAAAAATCATCAGTTGACGTCCGGCATTTAAAATTTAAGGGGGTAATGAACATGAGCGAAAAAGTCGGGAGACTAGGTCGAGGGCTGTAGTGAGTTGACGTTTCATCACATGGCAGCGAAAACTTGCAGGAAAGTAATGTCCTACCTGGTAATTTTTTTCTTTACTAAAAGAGGGACATGACGTCATAACTCACCTAATCAGAGCGTTTTTAATATCTTATTTCGTTTTTAAAGTATATTTTTCGTCATAAATTGGCAAGTTCTTTTTTTTTTCTCTACAACTCTTTACACTGTATTACCCCTGAGTAATTATTATTCCATTTTCAAAGCAGAAGCAAACGAAAACGCTCTTGTTCCTGTTTACATAAAAAAGCTGAGAAAAGCACTCTTAGAGGATCTACAGTGGATGCGTGCAATGAAAAAAGATCCCACCTTCAAAAAAGTGATGGAGTAAAAACCCAAAAAGAGCTTGAAGATACAGAAGGATTTGATTGGTTGGAATCGACAGAACTAGCGATTAATAAGCGAAAAAACTTACTCAATCGATTAATACGAAAAGCAGGCCCATTCCACAAGATCAAGACTAGTCCTATTATGAATGTTTTTAGAATTTTTTTCCTCGACCTTCGTATTGTTGTGTTTCCATAAAAACTGTCAACAACCAGATTTTAAGTGTGTCTTATTGATGACTTCACAATCCTTACAACTTTTTGTCTATTTAGGATGTTACATGAAATTTATTATTCAAAACAAACTTGTTTCATTGATTTAGAACAAACAGGAGGAAAATATTGTCAAGCATCGCGATACAGTTTGTTCTGCGTGCATCTTGTACAAAAGCCCTTGAAGAAGTAGGTAACTGTTTATCGTTTTCAATCTCTTCACGTTCTTCGGGGTTGATGACATAACGTTGAAAAGGTACGTGTTTGTCTTCAATGTGTCTTTCATACAAAACCTTCAAAACTCGGTAAATTTCGAGGTGCCTGGCGCAGCACGTCGTCTTTTTTCTAAACAAAGTGTAGCATCTGGGTCGTCTCGAGAGTCTTCTTTAATTTTTCAGACATAAAACTTACACGATTCCCATATTTCATGTATCCATTCTCTGTATCGAAGCCCATGAAAGACGTTAGGACTTCCCAAACTGGTAAACCCGTTGTCACACATTTCAAAGTCTTCGTCATATTTGCGTGTATAAATGGTGCTGGATAAATGCTTTCTGTTTAGCCTCTTGGCGTCGTTTTTTTATCTCTTCATAAGGATGGAATCTTGTGACCTGTGGCTGAGGTGAATACGAGAGCCGCTCCTTGATACCATGCGATATTGGCTGGTCTATCCACATAAAAAAGTTACACTCTTTTTTGTAACATGTCAGAAACATGCGATGCTGGCTCCAAGGCTGTTTACTTTTTGTCAGTGCAGGCTTGTTAGAAAAATCACAGACCAACTGAGCTGCATATTGTTTCACATCAGAGTGTGCATAGTACGTGATCCGCTCTACGTCCCCTTTTCATTCTGAAGCGGGGGCAAACATAAAGCACATTTTTTTTAGAGCGGTACACACAGCAAAATCCTTGCTCTTTTTCTACCAACTCCAACGCTGAATAGGGATGAAACGGACAGAACTGACCAAGTAAGGAACTCGCTTTATCTTCTGTCAACAGAGGTGTAGCGCTCGATTCGACTTGCATGTTTGAAGCGATGTTTTAAAGATTATTGGTAACAGTAAGACTTTATTTCCTTAGTAAAGCTATTGCAAGAACGATAACGCTTTCAAAAACTGCCCACTTTTAGTTGGACATCATCATCATCATCATTTTTGGTAACTATAACACATACTATTTAATCAATACTTTTTAAAAGAGAGGAAAGCTTTATCTGTCGTTATCTGTCTATCGACATCTGCTCTTTTATCAGCGGGAAAACGTGGTTGCAGCGAGCACTCTGGCCGCCGGATTTTTTTCCATACTACGCACCACTAGTTGCATACCGCGGAGTATGCAATGGGTTTTACCTTTCTGATAAGTAGTATTTCTGAAGGCATTGGATAAAACAGATACCAAAACAGCTCGGCGAAGGCGAGCAAAGGAAATCTACGTAAGAAATCCGGGAAGACAAAATTCAAGTAAAAAGTCGGAATTCAATTGGCGCAAGAGGGATAAATCCTGCAAGTCATTAAAAATCAAAAGACAAACTAACCAACAAACGGAAGAACTGTTTAAAAAAATTATTTAATAACTCAAATTTGCCATCAATTTGTTAGTTTCCTTAACTTCCCTCCGAAAAAAAAGCTAATAATATTCCGTTCACTTGACCAAATTGCACGTAAAGGCATAAAACCATATACGTCATTCGAGAAAATTCTCATCTATATTTATCTTAAAAAAGGTATTACCAATCAATCACACTTTCTTCACAAAAACACACTTGACCAAGACCTAATCAACCTCTTGACGTTATTTATTTAGTTACCTCTTGACATTTTTATTAACGAATTCGGCTTTCGTAGGATATGAAGCAGATCTCGGAGGGTGTCATCCACAGAGGCCTTATTACTCATTCAAAATAATTCTTAGTTTAAAGACAGCTAAAACATGCTTACCTGCATCGATGTTAAGTTTATCTTCGATAGTGTACGTTTAGGTTTGTCCAGCTCCGCAAATATTCTTCAAATAGCAGATGTCGCCCTCCGAGTTGTCTTCTTGCTGTTTTTTTTTTTTGCTAGTTTTAGCCATTATTTCGCTTAGCTCCAGCTGTAGTTCTTACTCTTGAAACGAGTGAGGTGTGCGCCATTTTAGTTTTCACAAATGTCCGCCATCTCTTTGTTTTCAGAAACGACAACAACTCAACCTCGTCCCCGGGTCTTCTCGGTTAATGGTACATTAACCTGTAGAAGGCTGCATTTTTGACGTCATTTCCTAGTTAAACACAAAATTCTTCCAAATTTGGTCATCAGTAACTGGTTATGGTGAATTATGCGTGTGCTTTTAGCCAATCAGAATTGGGGAAACATTTTGAATGAATGTTAATTTACATTTAATTTCCCAACATTCTACGTGCAAGTTCTTAAACTACCCACCTGTAAAATTATTGACCGGAACTCCATAAATCTCAATCCTTAAGCACGGATGAACACAAAACGATTCTGGCCAGATACGCACATACTGGGCCCTGGGCGCGAATGGAAATTCGCTTTTAACAATCCCATACGAATCGACGTTGCCTTGTAATATCTATAAGAACATTAGAGAAGTGTTTACCATCATTAACATGCGCGCACGTTGCATAACTGCAGGTCAAAACCTCTCGGGATGCTTGTAGAAATGAGGCCTGAAACGCACTTTGCTGAACAAACTCGTATTTTACTTCTTATAAAAGCTTGAAAATGTTGTTGTAAGAGCCTTTTTCTGCTGTCCCCCTCTCCCCTAAGCAATGCTGACTTTGTTGAAAAACACTTCAAGGCATAACGTCAACACTGCACGGGGGAGGGGGAGGGGAAGAGAAAATGTATCATTTTGACCAGCTATATATTGCGTTAATTAGTGTCCCAAGAGGTTTGACCAGGAGAGGTTGCAGGTGCGTACTTCTTTTCATATGCACTTCATGCATGTACAGTTTTCTATTTTGCAAGAATTTTTTGTAATCCAAAAGTTTAGTTTCAAAGTAAAACATTCTGAGTTTTTGTTATTAGCATGAGCTGGAGGTCATACGAGAAACGCCCTCCTAGCTCAAGCGAAAAAAAAAATTAAGTAGGTGGGCAATGTATGCATTTTAACCAGAATACTTCTGAGTTTTATAAAATATTTGGCTCATATTTTACCTCTGTATGTCCATTATTTTGCATATACCATTCCCAGCGTGTACCATTTGTTGATAGCTGTAGAAGGTATGTCGTCGTAAATGCACCAATCTTGTGAAATCCTTGTGTTGCTATAGCACAAATGCTGTGTAATGAGCTTAACGAGATCTCCAAGTACTCCTGGGACGATTTTGTTTGTGGACACCAGGCTTCTTCTCCTGCTAACCGCGCTTTTGCTGGGTATTTATCAAAGAATGTTGACGAAGCTGTTATGTTTTCATCAGGGAAGAGCCCATTTTCAAATCCGAGTGACGTGTCGTTGCATTTAAGATTTTCAGCTTCCTGATAAGCTGTCGGTAAAGGAAAACCTTAGCCACTTATAGCAAATAACGCTAAGCTTGAACCTTAAGGAGTCATACCATTTGCTGATTGTCTTCCCGAAAAGTTTGCAGTCAGGACTACAGTCATCTGGACTATCTTAGTCTATTACAAATGGTGAACACTAGGCTTGGTGTTCTGTAAAACATGAACGAGAAGAAAAATACACGACAGCAACAACAACGACAGTGTCTTTGTAAACATGGACGAAGTTTGTTTTGCAACAGGCTTCGCAAAAAAATGTCAATAAATAAAATGTTTAAAAACGAATTAGCTCTCTAACTTTCTGGTTTGAGATTTTATTCCCCCAAGAAATAGCTAGAAGGGTGGAGAAATGGAATTCAACTCATATATCGTGTTTTTAGAGACATAAATCAATTTTTCTCTTCTCTGTACGTAAGTCACTTACCTTTCCTTTCACATACAAAGTAATGAAGATGAAAGCAGTCATCTTGGTACCATTCGCTCATGTTTTCACATTCTTTATCGTTTGACACGCTGCCACAGATACCCACACACAAATCTGTACTATATTTTTTGTTTTTCCATCTTTCAGTAAATGAAATATTTGAACCATCTACCCAAGAATAGTTTAACGTGGTTTCATTCCATTCAGCGCCTATCCAAAAGAAACTACTGGCAAAGGAAGCGACGAGGTCATTTTCGTCTCTGTTTGCAATGGTCACCAGCTGAGAATTTAAACTTGTGCATCTCTCTGTAGCATTTATCCAATTTGCCATCTCACTCGACAACAAGTAGCAGGAGGTCTGGTATTGCAACCAACCAACTGGACAAGCTAAAACAGCAAAGCATTGAGGACTTTATTTAAAACTGTCGCCTGCGAAACGCATATAGATTCGTCAGTCTGATCCAGGCCTCTCCAGGAGTATTAACTAAAGGTGGCTGTACACAGTTTGATAGTTTATGGATCATTACAAACTTTCATTGGGTATCAGCTACTACCCACACTTTTTTCTTACAAAGCTAATTTGCTGCATATTCCCTGATAATAATATTACAGGTATGCGCAGTTTTTTAAAGGCCGATAGAGCATTTCTAGAGAAACTTTGTTCAGCCACCTTAAACATGGGGTGGCTAAGCCAGAGTGCCGTTTGAAATTTTACTGATGCTACCAAAAAAAAGAAAAAAAAAAGGCGAAACAATTAAGTTATGGAAAGGATTCCAATTCCCTGGCTAAGGCTATATTCACATTTTACCAGACAGCTCTTGAGGCGACAAGACAAACATATTGGATTGGGCTTCTATTCAAACACACAACTAAAAAAAGCCACAGCGATTTCGGCGCGATTTCTGTACCGAAGCGATGCTGTGCCTCGGCGATCTTCGAAATGTAGTATTAGGTAAGTTTCTTCCAGCCTTCGTCACATTGTAAGGTAAAGGTGCACACGTGCCAAAGGCACAAGCGGCCGGAGTTTATTTCCGGTTTCCGAAGATGGAGCAAGCCTAGCATGAAGCAAACCTAGGATTATTACTACTCTCCCCTTGACGGGATGCTAGTTCCTCGCAGGGTTACCCCCAGCAGTTAAATGTCGCCGGTACCCATTTATACACCTGGGTGAAGAGAGACAAAGTAGAGTAAAGTTCCTTCTCTAAGGAAAAAAAGCAACGGGCGAGGCTTGAACCCCGGACCTCCAAATCCAGGGTTCCAGGTGTTAACCGCTCGGCTACACACGCCTCCACGTCGCATTGTGCGAACATACATTCGGACCGTAGTGCAGCAAAACCTCTCGGCCAACCGCTCCGGTGTCTTTTCTTCGATAAGAGCTCTGTGCTGTTCCCGTTCATACTGTACTTAGATAGCTTTTCATATCGGCACGAAAAGATATTAGGTATAGTGTAGTCATAACATTAGACTTTCGCTGTGCTTCCTTTCTTCATTGCGGCCGATACGAACTTATTAATCACACACTTTTTATCGCGTTTTCCTGAACTAGAAAACAGCTACCAGTTTAAAAGACCTGTCGATAGTAATTAAAATGATTGTTTTGGTTTCACTATACACTTTTTTGTTTATGTAGGTCGTATTAACTGAAGAGCTAGCCACCACCAAGCTTCCTATAACTCCAGCCAACCCGTCTCTCTATCACATATACAGCTTTGAGGTTAATTACTATGAATCCTGTGAATTCAGATCGACAAAGGAAAAATCTCCAAAAACAAAGAACATTTAAATGTTCTCTTTACAAAAAAGGGTAAAAAAAAAGACTCTTAACAACACATTTTCAACAGCCCAGTTCAATTTTATCATTCAAATTTTATGTACACTCGATCCTCGAAAATTCAAAATAAAACTTAATAAGTTAACATTTAAAAATAGTTATTTAACTTACTCGTACAGGCTCTGCTTTCGTTAACAAGATAAGAAGAATTCAAGTGACTGTATAAAGGTGGAAAACGTTGACAATGTCGTTGTCGAGTTTGCCTGAGGTTCTGAATATTGCATGAACTCCACGATTCCCACATTCCTGGTGTGAATTCTCCAAGGATACCATCTGCAATTATTACAATAGAATTTAAAAATTGGTCTTAAAGATTTTCCTTTGATAGCAGAACTTTTCCGGCAGATCTTTCTAAGCACCATTATATTCAAGGTAAACAGATTTCAGGGCAAATTAAACATTTGTTGAAGGGATCTCCTTGAATAACATATTGTTTCACTTTTCGCTCCCTGAAATTACATTTGTGAAAAATGCAAAAAAATGACTGATGAACTATCATCTTCCCACATCTTTTTTAGCTGCCTAAAATGTACACTAATCTCCAACGGCTTCTTAGATTTATACAACTGGGCCTATATTTCACTCAGTTTCCAAGCTGGTGTTTCAAGCGCGAATTTTATGCAAGATAAAACCTAGTTAATAAACTTTGGTTTGCATCTATTTCTTTTCCACAGAAAGAACTAGGTGTGGAGTGTATGTACCTGCTCGGTAAGCCACAAGGTAATTTTCAGGAATGGTATCTTCTTTTGTGCCATTTGTTGAAATAAGACTTATTCTGACGCCTTTATTCCTGGTCCCACCAACATGAAGAACGGCCACTTTGTAGAATATTCCCGCCGTCATATTAAAACCGGTCGTCCTGGAAAATGTTTTGTAAGGTCACTTGACTAATGTAGCAGTCATAATTTCAGAGTTTTAGTGTTTATTACGGAAGCCGATAAGGGACAATCCCAAAATATTTACGAAATCCGAAAAAATGTTTTTAAAATCCGAAAAAATATTTCAAATCGTAATGATTTTTGGAAATCATCGTTGAAGAGTTTATCAAATCTGAAAAACTATTACAAATCCTAATAAAATTATTGAATCCACAAATATTATTTTGTAAATCCGAAACATGTTTATAAATCCGAGAATTGTCGCTAAATCCTGAAAAATATTTTGCAAATCCGAAAAAATATTTTGTCACGTGTTACTTGCGCCAGCAGTCTGCTACTAACAGCGGTTTGCCCCATCCAAAATGGCGGAGTTTTGTTCCACTCGTGAACCCTGGAGGCAAATTTTGCTTCAAATGTGGTTCCAAAGTTGCAGGGATTTCACATCCGAGTGCAAGAATAAGTACATCCGAAGATGAGCGTGCTTCTTCCTCGTCATCTTCGAAGTCATTATCACAATACTTCACCTCCAAAGCGGAAGAACGCAGAGGATCTAAGTTTAACAAACCAAACAACTAAGCCGGTTTCAAAAATAACACGTTAACGATCCAAGACCCAGGATCCAGTTCAGTTTTCAAAGTACCTCCGTTCATATAGATCTCATGGTACTCGCTCAGCGAGTGGACAATGGTATCGTACCTAAATCCCCTCAGTTCAAAGTAATGTTCTATTACCAGCCTCTTCTCTGCCGAACTGCACAGACTTTCCTGTTGATGTCTCTTTATTGTTCCACACTGCCGACAGAACACTCCATTGCTCTCAAACTCTCTGCCACATTTATGGAAGAACTGACATCGTACTTTGTGTTATATTGTAAACGATTACAAACTCTTTATACTTGAATCACCCTAAAACCATTATAAAATCTGACTAAATATTTTATAACTAATCTCAACTAAACAAGGTATCAGGAACGGGAATCTCGTTTATTGATACAGCGAACGTTTTACACATCACCATAAAGAAATTACAGCAGTGAATGAACAATAAAGCAAAGTTGATAGAGATGCGTTCGTGTGGCTCTTGCATAACTTATAAAATCTTGATAGCTTACAAGCCCCTAGGGATTAATCATACCTGCAAGCACGCTTTAAGTACTTCTACAGTTAACACGAATCATACATAATGAACATACTCCAGTGTCATTAGCGAAACGTGACAAAATATATTAACCCACACCCGCCCCTCCTCCCTGGGGGCTTGTAAGCTAGGGAAGAGGACGAAGAGATGAAGAGGACGAAGCACGCTCATCTTCGAATGTACTTATTCTTGCACTCGGCTGTGAAATCCCTGCAACTTTGGAACCACATTTGAAGCAAAATTTGCCTCCAGGGTTCACGACGAGTACGAGTCGAACAAAACTCCGCCATTTTGGATGGGGCAAACCGCTGTTGGTAGCAGACTGCTGGCGCAAGTAACACGTGACAAAATAATTTTTTGGATTTGCAAAATATTTTTCAGGATTTAGCGACAATTCTCGGATTTGTAAACTTATTTCGGATTTACAAAATAATATTTGTGGATTCAATAATTTTATTAGGATTTGTAATAGTTTTTCAGATTTGATAAACTCTTCAACGATGATTTCCAAAAGACATTACGATTTGAAATATTTTTTTCGGATTTTAAAAACATTTTTTCAGATTTCGTTAATATTTTGGGATTGTCCCTTATCGGCTTCCGTAGTTTATGCATGTACATGTACTTGCATTATGAAGAGATTAGAATTATTACAACGGGTCTTTAAATAACATCTGAAGTGACAATAAAAATGCAGTTTCCTCGATATAAATTGTTTTCATGGTTTTACTTCTCGCGAGGTTTATAAATTTGTCTCTCGCCTTGATCGCACAGCGAGGCAGAAACTCCAGTTGCCAATATTTCTATAAGTTTCTTGGGTGTCCGCAGTTTACGTCATCCAGTTGTGACGTCAGGCTGCATTTTGGGCTTGCCAGGTAACGTTACTTCAAGTGCAAATACAAATGCTGTGGTGCATGCTAAAATTATTACACTTGAAGCATTTTTCTCTGCCGTGAACGCTGTTTGAAGTTGGTGGAGCTGTATTTATCATGAATTCAAAGATACATTTGAGGAAAACTAGCTTACAGGGTATTTCAAAGCCATTTTGCATTATTTCGATCTTACTTCACTCTCGGGTTCAAAGCGGAGGATGTGGGAAGCTAAAACCAGTCTTTGATTTCAACACTGAATCGGTCACATCGTTCGGCGGGGAGAGAACCAATTCATTGTTGGTTTGTCTCGGTGTAACATGAATTCAGAGGTACAGATTTTAGGGAAAAGCAAGGTTTGACAGTAAAAAGGCGAAATGAAGCGCACTTTTGAGTAAAACAATCTGCTATTGAGTGGCTGCGTCGCGCTTGTTAAGGTACTTTCCATTATAGGAGATTCGGAGGGAGCGAGTTCAAATCCCGGCCAAGCCATAGTTTGTACATTTTTTTCTTATTACTTTTTCGATTATTTTTTTCTCTTTGGCTTGTTTCCCTTTATTATCACTGCTGATCCTTTTATACTTCGCCATGTTTTTGCGATAACGTCTTTCTAGTGTAATTTATACCATCGTTGTTGTCATCTGCCAAATATGGCAAGCGCCAGTTTCTTGTGAAGAATTTGCAGGGGATTGGAACCAATCAGAAAGGGTGAAATATTGAAATAATAGAGCCTATTTATCACGCTTCGCTTTTATAACGAACTGGGGACGGTTTGTTAAGAAACTTGAATTTAAGTCAGTTCAGAAGGCCAAATAAAATCCCGAAAAGCTGTAGTCCAAAGTTTAAGAGAATGGAAGCAAAACCTCTCTCTCAGTGAGTTGTCTGTCAAACCCGTTATAGAATTCTACTTTCAAGAACCTCTACGTGATATTTTTGGTCATCATGGAAGTAGTTTAATAATGTTCAACTTGATTCGGCTAGCCTGAAAACTTTAGAGAAACTAAAACTGAAGCTCCAAGTTATTTAGTCTTGGTCATAGCAAGCCAGTTAGGAATTAAAAACAACTTATTAATTGAAAATTGGAAATTTTAATGAAAAAAGTTGCCATTAAGAAAACGTTTTTATTCACTGAAACCATGGCTAGCTCAGCAATTTTAAGTTCACATCCCCTTACATGAGCAGAGGACGAATTTTTTTATAAGTTGATGGCGTTATGGTTAAAGGTGATAGAGATATTCGTAGCCTTGATTTTTATGTTACTTATTAGTGGTGGATTTTTGATATGTATTTATAATTCTAATTTGTCTAGCTTTTAAGTGGGAAACCCAGAGGAAATCGAGTAATAAATTCTTGCATCTCATAAACACGGTACTCAAAAGATATTATACAATTCCTAAGTTGATATCCTGCAGTTCCGAAGAAAATAAAAAGCAACTTACGAATTCTGGCATCTCATGAATGTATTGCCTTGGGGAGTATCTATGCAGATTACACAGACGTTGTGACAGGATAAATCGAAGTTGTACAGTCCACTCTCTGGAATTGTAATGTATGCACGAAGCCGCTGACCACCTTGTGAAGCATTTAAAGTTGAGTTAAAACTTTTGATTATTCCACTCCAGTGAGGTGAAACAGGAACATTAAGAAGCTCAATTAGTGAACTCAAGTTTCCGAGTTGCACTGAATTATTCCATACTTCTTGGAAGACCCCTTGGATCTCTACAATTGAATTAAACATTATGCAAATTTGAGAGATTTGGCAATACAGTTAGTTT